TTGATACCTATCTTGGATTGCAACTGTTTTATGTCCTTGCTTTAGTTATGCTGCTTTGTGTTAATTTATTTCATTTTTGTTTCAGATGAAGAGTGCGTCTACACCAGGCATGGGCAAACTTTGGCCTTCCAGGTGTTTTGGACTTCAGTGCCCACAATTCCTAACAGTCAGTAAGGTGGGTTGTTGTAGGTTTTTTTGGGCTGTATGGCCATGGTCTAGAGGCATTCTCTCCTAGGAGATAATGCCTCTAGACCATGGCCATACAGCCCGAAAAAACCTACAACAGCCCAGTGATTCCGGCCATGAAAGCCTTCGACAAAAGTCAGTAAGGTGGCTGATATTTCTGGGAGTTGAAGTCCAAAACACCTGAAGGGCCAAAGTTTACCCATGCCTTGACTACAGTATACAATTAATACAGGGTGGCACCACTTAAACAATCATGGCTCAATACTATGCCATCCTTGGAGTTGTATTTTAGTGAAGTACCAGCACTCTTTGGCAGAGAAGGCTGAATACATTATAAAACTACAATCCCCAAAATTCCATAGTATTGGAACATGGCAGTTAAAATGCTGTCAAATATCAAATTACATTCACAGTAGATGCACCCTGATCTGAAACTAAAGTGAAGTAAATTAACACAAAACAGTAGAATTAACCAGTAAAGCAAGCCCACCATGTGCTACTCAACAGACAGGATTGGTGTTTTAATTTAACCCACCAAACATTGATGCTAAGTGCAGTCATGGGACAAAATCTACCAAATTAAAGCCAAACTCTCAGACGCTGAAGGAATAATGCAAAGGTTTAACTAAACCAGTGGTTCCCAACCTTTTTTTGATCAGGGAATACTTGACCAGGGACTACTCTCCAGCATTATTACCAAAAGGCTTACGAATCAGTTTTTGGTCAACTTTAGATTCGGTATGGTTATTTGGGGTGCTGATTCAGAAAATTGCATTGGATAGACCACATCAGCTTTAGTTTCTGATACAGAACATATGCCATCCAGTAATCGTCATCTGCTCACCCACAGAAAGCCGTATTTAATAAGCCTCGACACTATAACAGGGTTTCATGAGACCAGTTGCTTTCATTGCAACCGTGTAGTAACGGTGAGGCTGCGCACCATATTTTAGTTCTTGCGGACCACTGGTGGTCCATGGACCACAGATTGGGAACCACTGAGCTAAACCAAAAGTTTAAGAATCTCTTCTGAAATGTAGCCCTCAATTATTCACTTCCTTTTCATTTTAGGCTAAAGGACTGTTTTTAGATGGGGTGAATCCTCCTACTGCTAATAAAAACTACTTTTCTGTTGCAAAATTACCACTGAAATTGATTTTCCACAGCATTACGAGGATGCTAGATTTTTGCTGTATCTCCAGCCTGTTTTGTTACATCAACATCACATGGTGCAATTTGAGTGATGCAGATCCTCTGACCAATGTTAATTTCAAATTATATACTTAGTGATTTAAATGACTAGTTAGGTGCATGAAATGTCAAGCTCTTTGAACTGGATGTACATATTGGAAGTTCTTAATTATGCGAAAAGTCATCACTAGTATTTGGCCAGAAAACTGCATTTATTTACTGCTGACTCTGTAGTGATATAACACAGTTATTTAAAAGCTGCTAATTGCCATGAAAAACAAATAATATATTGCCTTAGTAAACACCATGTTCAAGGGAAGGAATCGTTCTCTTTTGGTGCTTTTGTAGGGTAGAAAGAAATGGATCAACTTTCACATTCTAAGCTTGTGACCATTATTAGGGAGAAAGAATTATGTCGAGATACAATTTTAGCTACATTGAACTGCATTGTATGAACCTACACTAACCATATAATGCAGTCTGAAACTCCATTATATTGGGTCAATGGGGCCAAATTTGTCATCTATTGCTTGAATGACACTGAAGACTATACTTAAAATAATAGTTCAATTCAAAACAACAGTCCAGTCTCATGCCTGTTCATCTGAAATGTCTACTCTATCGAAGGGGCTTTTATTCCAAACAGAAAATGATTCAGAATCATGTTATAAGCATCTTTGAGAACTTGCTGTTTTAAATTAGTTACTAATTAATAGCAAAACAAGGTCCCATGCCATCTATGGTAAACAAAACCAATAACAGCAGAATCTCACTTTATTATTATTATTATTATTATTATTATTATTATTATTATTAGAAATAGATCTTAGAAATCTACAGAGACACTCGCTGGAACACCTCAGCAAGCGAGAGTCCAAAAGTGGCAGGCTCAAACCCAGAACCTCAATCAATCGCTGATGCCCAATGAGAGACTCCCCCCTGGGCACACAGAAGACTGGGCGACTTGGAAGGCGCTGAACAGACTGCGCTCTGGCACCACGAGATGCAGAGCCAACCTTCAGAAATGGGGCCACAAAGTGGAATCCTCGACATGCGAGTGTGGAGAAGAGCAAACCACTGACCACCTGCTGCAATGCAACCTGAGCCCTGCCACATGCACCAGGGAGGACCTTCTTGCGGCAACACCTGAGGCACTCCAAGTGGCCAGATACTGGTCAAAGGACATTTAATCAACTACCAAGCTTGCAAACTCTGTGTCTTTTGTATGTTTGTTTGTTTGTTCTGTCAAAAATGTAATACAACTGTTCGGTTGCCTGACATGATAAATAAATAAAATAAATAAAATAATTATTATTTCCTATATTTGTATCCCCCCCTTCTCACCCCCCCCCCCCGGGGGGGGGGGGGAGGAGGATTCAGGGCGGCACTATACAATGCTATAACCACCATAAAACATTCAACAAATACATTAGAAACATTAAAACAGTTAATAAACGGGCCGGCAGAATGTTGGATAAGCGAAAATATTGGATAATAAGGAGGGATTAAGGAAAAGCCCATTAAATGCTAAATCATGTTATGAATTTGCAAATTAAGCACCCAAACATCATGTCTTACAACAAATCGACAGAAAAAGCAGTTCAATACACAGTAACATTATGTAGTAATTACTGTATTTATGGTATTCCCTGTAGTAACCTATGGATGTAAGAGCTGGGCCATCAGGAAGGCTGAGCGAAGGAGGATAGATGCTTTTGAAATGTGCTGCTGGAGGAAAGTTCTGAGAGGGGCTTGGACTGTGAGAAGATCCAACCAGTCCATACTCCAGGAAATAAAGCCTGACTGCTCACTGGAGGGAAGGATACTAGAGACAAGGAGTACTTTGGCCACATAATGAGAAGACAGGAAAGCTTGGAGAAGAGAATGATGCTGGGGGAAATGGAAGGAAAAATGAAGAGGGGCCGACCAAGGGCAAGATTGATGGTTGGTATCCTTGAAGTGACTGGATTGACCCTGAAGGAGCTGGGGGTGGTGATGGCCAACAGGGAGCTCTGGCGTGGGCTGGCCCAAGAGTCGGAAGCGACTGAACGAATGAACAACAATCAGTATTTACGAAACAGCTGTCAATGTGGGCGGGAGGTAGACTGCGTTGGATAATACAGAACGTTGGATGAGCGAAGGTTGGATAAGCGAGACTTTACTGTATTTATAATATAAGCCACTGGACCTGTTATGTGGCACAATAATCCTATACTTACTCCATTGCTTCACAACCAGCCTTTGTTTTCTTGGTTCTGTTACTGTGCCTATAATTGGTATAAGACAGTTATTAGGGACATCCTTTTACGTTCGCTCTTATCATAGAATCAGAGTGGGAAGAGACTTTGTGGGTCATCCAGTCCAACCCCCTGTCAAGAAGTAGGAAAATTGCATTCAAAGCTCCCCCAACAGATGGCCATCCAGCCTCTGTTTAAAGGCCTTCAAATAAAGAGCCTCTACCACACTCTGGGGCAGAAAGTTCCACTGCTCAACAGTTCTCACAGTTAGGAAGTTCTTCCTAATGTTCAGATGGATTCTCCTTTCCTGTAGTTTGAAGCCATTGTTCCGCGTCGTAGTTTCCAGGGCAGCAGAAAACAAGCTTGCTCCGTTCTCCCTATGACTCCCTCTCACATATTTATACATGGCTGTCATATCTCCTCTCAGCCTTTTCTTCTTCTGGCTAAACGTGCCGAGCTCTTTAAGCCACTCCTCATAGGGCTTGTTCTCCAGACCCTTGATCATTTTAGTCGCCCTCCTCTGGACACATTCCAGCTTGTCAACATCTCCCTTCAATTGTGGCGCCCAGAATTGGACACAATATTCCAGGTGTGATCTGACCAAGGCAGAATAGAGGGGTAGCATGACTTCCCTGGATCTAGACACTATGCTCTTATCAAAGCGACATACTGGGTGTTAGGAATTGTGGGAGTTAAAGTCCAAAGCATCTGGGTAACCGAAGTTTGCCCATGCCTGATCTATACTGCAGAATTAGTGCAGTGTGACACTACCATGGCTGGGAGCTATGAAATCATGGGAGTTGTAGTTTCACAAGGTTTTTAGTCCTCTGTTTCAAAGAGTGCTGGTGCAGCACTAAACTACAAATCCCAGGATTTCATTGCATTGAGCCCTGGCAGTTAAAATGGTGTCAAACTGCATTAATTCTGGGTTGTTGTCAGTTTCTTCGGGCTATATGGCCATGGTCTAGAGGCATTCTCTCCTGACGTTTCGCCTGCATCTATGGCAAGCATCCTCAGAGGTAGTGAGGTCTGTTGGAACTAGGAAAAGGGGTTTATATACCTGTGGAAGGACCAGGGCAGGACAAAGGACTCTTTGCTGCTGGAGCTAGGTGTGAATGTTCCAACTGACCACCTTGATTAGCATTTGATGGCCTGGCAGTGCCTGGAGCAATCTTTTGTCGAGAGGTGATTAGATGTCCCTGATTGTTTTCCCTCTGCTGTTTTGCTGTTTTAATCCGGTTGCTGCCGCCTGCAGAATTCTGGGGTTTGTAGTTTAGGGAGGAGCCTTTAACAGCCTCATTAAACTACAAACCCCAGAATTCTACAGAAGTGGATTCCTCCTCTAGTGCAGTGATGAGGTCCTTAGCAGCCTCGGAACGTTCCTTCCAGGTTCTGTGTTTCCGGTCGGGACGATTTCGGAGCGCACCGCTTGGCTTTCCCTCATTGCCAAGATGGCGGCGCCCGTGTTGAGATGCTGCTTGAGAAGAGGTGAGTGAATGGGAAGCTTGCCATTACAATCTATAAACAGTACATTTATTCCCTACCTAAACTCGTGTTGCCCTTGAGTGCACCTACACTGTAGAATTAATGCAGTTTGCTACCCCTTTTAACTGGCCTGGCTGAATGCAATAGGATCATGGGAGTTGTAGTGTTACAGGGCCTTTGACCTTCTCTACCAAATAGTGCTCACCAGACTCCAAATCCCACAGCATGCAGCCATGGCAGTTAAAGTGGTGTCAGACTGCATTCAGTCTGCAGTGTAGATGCACCCTTTCTTGAGGATTAAGGGCCCTTCCACACAACCATATAACCCAGAATATCAAGGCATAATAATAATAATAATAATAATAATAATAATAATAGTAATACTTTATTTATACCCCGCTCCATCTCCCTCAGGGGGACTCGGTGTGGGTTACATGAGGCCACACCCATCGATACAATACAAGCAATATAACACAAAACACAATAAAATGAGCAAAATACATAAAATGCAAAATAAAAATAATATACAACACAACAATATAAAATCAAACATTAAAAACACAGGGAATTTCACTAGGCAGGGCCAGATGCATGGATAAAATTATTAAAAAAAATTAAAAACACTGGGAGATATGACAGTGTAACTTATAAGGAGGAGGCTCCAAGAATGAGGAAGGATTTCATTGCACAACCCATAAAATAAAGTGCGTCTAAAGACATTTTGTGCAAAGTGTGGTCTGCTTTGAACTGGATTATCTAAGTCCACACTGCCATATAACATAGTTCAAAACAGAAAATGTGGGATTTTATTCAGCTGTGTGGAAGGAGCCAAAGTTTGTTGGACTCCATTTTAGCACTGGGTTGTTCAGTACTTCCTCTGCACTTTCCATAGATCTATTGTCTATGAATTGTGTTACAACTCACACTGGGTGCATCTCCACCAGGCATTGTGTTACATAGTGTTGTTATTGGCTTGCTCTCTTTTTCTTCCTGCAGTTTTAGAACGGAGTCCTGTGTTCTCCAGAAATGATCAGCATTCTACATTGCTCCCCTGTTTCGCAAACTTGCTTATTTCACACAGACACTACGCTGCAAAGTAAGTAATTTTTATTTCCTTTTTTTGTACAAATGACTTGTAAAAATCTATAAATATATCTTGTCCTTTGCTGAACGAAGCATTTGTTAGATTTTCTTGGTGGGTCTGCTGATAGTTTGTATGTTGTGGACAAGAGGGATCCTCTCACTTCTGCAGGAGTCTACCGCGTACCATGCAGCTGTGGAGAAGTCTACAGAGGGACCACCAAACGCAGCAGCATTGCCCAAACATGAATCAAGGAACATGAAAGGCACTGCAGACTACTTCAACCAGAGAAGCCAGCCATAGCAGAGCACCTGATGAATCAACCTGGACACAACATTTTATTTGAGAACACAGAAGTGCTGGACCACTCTCACAACCACCATGTCAGACTACACAGAGAAGCCATTGAAATCCACAAGCATGTGAACAATTTCAACAGAAAGGAGGAAACCATGAAAATGAACAAAATCTGGCTACCAGTATTAAAAAACTCTAAAATTGCAACAGCACAACAACAGAGAGGAAGCAGGCAGGGACATCTAATTACCTCTCAACAAAAGTTTGCCTTAGGCACAATCAGCCCATTGTATGCTAATCAAGGTGGTCAGTTGAAACATTCACACCTAGCTCCAGCACACAAGACTCCTTTGTCTCACCCTGGTCATTCCACAGAAATATAAACCCCCTTTTCCTAGTTCCAACAGACCTCACTACCTCTGAGGATGCTTGCCATAGATGCAAGCGAAATGTCAGGAGAGAATATCTCTAGACCATGGCCATATAGCCCGAAAAAACCTACAACAACCCAGTGATTCCAGCCATGAAAGCCTTTGACATTACAGGCATGATTGGTGGGGACGAGAGACAGGGCCTCCTCGGTGATTGCCCCCCGGCTATGGATCTCCCTCCAGGAGGATCGGCCCCCTCCCTCCTGTCCTTCAGAAGGATGGTAAAAACTTGGCTGTGGGACCAAGCTTTCGGGACAGGGCAATAAAGTAGCAATAGGAAAGATTACCAGGCCAATTAGATTTGACACAGATGACCAAGACGGTTTTAAATGGCGTATTTTAATATTGAGATAAATGTTTTTAATGTTTATGAATGCGTATATGAATTTTTGTTTTGGCATTGAATGTTTGCCGTGTATATGCTGTGCTCCACCCTGGGTCCCCTTTGGGGTGAGAAGAGCGGAATATAAATATTTTAAATAAATAAAATTAAATAAATTAAGATGAATTAGTCTAAAACAGAGTATCCAGCCTATTACAGTGTGGAGCATGACATTTTCTTAGACTTGGCTATCAGTACATTTTTATTCTTAATTCAGGATATTGCCGTTAGTCAATTGAACGCAAGGCCTATTGCGTTCAGTGTGGCTTCTCCAAAATAAGTGAGCATAGAATTGCAGAGCGTGGGAATGTAGGGCGCATCTACACTTTAGTCAGTTTTAAACCAGTATTAAATAATGTAGTTTTGCTGTGCAAAGGATTACATGGGAAATCCTGGAACCAGTTTGTGGCCCAAATGGTGATTACACAAACCATAAAGCACTGGTGCACATTAAGAGCTTTTTTTTGACACTTTTGGGGACGTTTGTTCTCTGTCTTCCACAGTTTGAAGCTAGTTTTGAATTGCATTAAATAATCAGTGTAGATATGGCTTTACTTTGAATTGTGATTAGTCTCATTAATTATTTTGCGGTCTTTTAGTTCTTATTTTATTTGGATTGTTTTGTTAGTCACCTGTAATTTATTTTATTACAAATGGACCAAATAAGATTATGGTTTTGTCACTTGTTCCATGCCTTGTTGGTTCAAACCCACCCAGGGAAGAACATTGATTTCTAGAACCTTTATTTCTCAATATAATTAAGGTGGAAATGATTTTGTTCTCTTTTTGAAAAGAGTTGTATAATTGGGGGGAAATCCTGGTGAAAAAACAGCTATTAAATGTTTACACATTCAGTATTCAGATAAATAGTTACGCAACTGGACGGCTTCATTTATCATCTTTATTTTCTTAAAGACCGGCAAAAAAGAAAAAAAGTGAGCCCCAAAAGAAACCTCAAGAATCAGAGCCCAAGAAAAAAAAGAAACAAACCAGCATTCCTTTACTGAAGGAACCAACAGATGATGTTTATTTGACATGGTGTTATGAGAGGCCAGTTTATGATGCAGAAGAGGCTGTAGATATGCTGAAGAAATTTCAACAGCTGGACTTCACTTCTCCCAACCAGCCCGTATTTGCTGATATTACCCTGGACCTGGCAATGGATAAGAAGGTACACTGAAAGAGGCTCATAATTTGGATGCTGCATTAGACCTTTTTTTGTACAGTCATGCTGTATAATTGAAATATTTTTTGAAATTTAGAAAAACTAATTTATTTATTTTTTAAAAAATATCAAATTTGAGAAATCCTTTATTCAGGATCAGTTCCCTTAGGGCAGTTCTCAAGTACCGGTTGAAATCTCATTATTGTGTCTTGAGTTATGTGGCATTTCAGATACTGTTGGATTGCATTTCCCAGCAGCCTTAACTTTCATAGCCAGTGGTGAGGAACGTTGGGAATTGCAGTGTATTAATTTTTAGAGTGCTGCGTAGTTCATTTCCCTGCTCTAGCTTATGTTTTTGAACTGAAAAAGTTCTGATGTCATGTAAATATTGATAGGAGAGGGAAGGAAATAAGGCAAGAGAAATGTTTCAGATTAATGTGATGCTTGATGGGGTGCTTGGAATTGGAGCTTCAACAAGCAATCCACCAGTCTCCTCCTGGGTCTCTGAAGATTGCTTTGTGATGATACATTCCCTCAACAGCCCTCTCCCTCCTGAGTTTGGCTACACTTGCCTTCCCAATCTCTTGTGGTGTATCCCACCACAAGAGATTGTGGTGGGATATGAGACTTGCAGAGAGATTGGAAAGGCCAGGCAACAACTGAAATCCCTGTGAAAGATAGTGTAGGGAAGCCCTGGAGACAATAGTAAGTAATCCATGAATAATGAAATCCACAAAAACCAAAGGTGTAAATGAGGACAGTGACGATCTTACATATGTAAATTTAATTTCCATTTCATTTCTTCTGTATCAGATTGGAATAGCCTATTTTGGCTAAGTCAAATAAGTAAAAAAAATTGTTTTGTTTTTGCTTTTACAACTTCTAGAAAACAGTGGAGCCGTTTGTCAATACAGTGGTTCTGCCTTACCGTCTCACTGAGGAGATCAACAAGGTTTTAGTATTTACCGAGGTGAGTAATACAGCAAAAAGCCTTCTTGGTCCTCTATATGTCATAATGACTGTTCACACTTTGAAATAATGGTGTGGGCTTTGTTCCCTGAGTATCAGGGAACAAAGTATCAGGAAAGTATTGAATTTTCCCTGTTAATTAATTAATTTATTTATCGTGTCAGGAGCAAACCACACAGTTGTATTGCATTTTTAAACAAACAAACAAACAAACCACAAAGTTTGCAAGCTTGGTAGTTGATTAAATGTCCTTTGACCAGTAGCTGGCCACTTGGAGTGCCTCTGGTGTTACTATAAGAAGGTCCTCCATTGTGCATGTGGCAGGGCTCAGGTTGCATTGCAGCAGGTGGTCAGTGGTTTGCTCTTCTCCACACTTGCATGTCATGGATTCCACTTTGTAGCCCCATTTCTTAAGGTGCATCTGCATCTCGTGGTGCCAGAGTGCAGTCTGTTCAGCGCCTTCCAAGTCGCCCAGTTTCCTGTGTGCCCAGAGGGGAGTCTCTTATTTGGTATCAGCCATTGATTGAGGTTCTGGGTTTGAGCCTGCCACTTTTGGACTCCCGCTCGCTTCCCTGTTAATGGCACAGCTATTTTTATTTGCATACTTTTGTCACCATAGGTGGTACTTTGAGTAACATAGGTAAGGTAAACCCTGAGCTGTAGAGCTTAAAGTTGACTTTTAGTCGAGGGTCACAGGAAACAATGAAGGAAGTGGAATAACAGGGTGAAGCAAGGGTAGTAATGGGTGGGAAAAAAATGGAGATACAGTTGTCCCTCCTCATTTGTGGCCTTCAGAGCACAGAATCCCCTGTGAAAATGAGAAAAAACATGAATATAAATAAACATTGCTTTGTAGGAAAGGTGGTTTTTGAATTGGGGTTTAACAGGAAGAATGTCAGTATTGTCAAAGAACATTCTAAATGTTTTTACAGGTGTTTGTCCGTTGTCAAATTAAGTAAGAACGTGTGCTCCAAATTTAGATAATGCCTCAAGAAATCCTAACCATACATGCCTTTTGTAGCAAGAATATTCTAAACGCAGTCAAACTTTCCCCCTCGGCCTCCATTAGAGGTGCTAAAAACCTTGCTTCTTGTTTGAAGAATTTGGACTTCTCTTGATAGTGAAGTGACTTGAGATAGCCAAGGCTTCCTCTCCAAAAGCTTTGGGGGCACACTGTAGTTTTTTTTAGTGAAGACGTCCCTATAAATGGGGCAGAACATCTATGAGTACTTGAGGAGCACCACACTTGGAGGACTACCTGTATATTTGTATTTTATTTTAAGAGGACTAGATGTATGTTGTATGTTATGTCTGCATTGTTTGTTTTTGATAAGGCCAATTGGCTAATCAATAAAAAAAATTGTTATATGGCAAAATGCCCAGCTTTCCAGACAAATATAGATAGTTTTAAGAATGCGTTGAAATTATGCAGAAGTATTGGAACATTATGTGGTGATTTAAGTACTCAACTAGGATTTTGGGAGTCCTGTGAGGATGGCAATGGCAAGCCACTGTAAATAAACTTTGCCAAGAAAATCATATGAGAAATTGGGGCTGACTTGAAGAAACGCTAACAACAAAACTCTTGGTAGCGACCAGTTGTGAAATATATCTTCCCTCTGTTAGGTCTCTGTTTATCAGGGGTTTTTTTTGTCGTGTCAGGAGCGACTTGAGAAACTGCAAGTCGCTTCTGGTGTGAGAGAATTGGCCGTCTGCAAGGACATTGCCCAGGGGATGCCCAGATGATTTGATGTTTTATCATCCTTGTGGGAGGCATCTCTCATGTCCCTGCATGAGGAGCTGGAACTGACAGAGGGAGCTCATCTACGCTGTCCCCGGATTCAAACCTGCGACCTGTCAGTCTTCAGTCCTGCCAGCACAAGGGTTGAACCCACTGCGCCACCGGGGACTCCATTGTTTATCAGTTGCTGATGATCCTAAGTGGAGAGAGCTCTTATACTTATGTTGTGTGCCTGGACTTCTCATATGTAGCTTTTAAATTTTGTTTCAAAAGCATTGTATAAATAAGTAAGTTTAAAACTGATAAAATAAAGGGATCACAAGCAGCTAAATAGTAGCTTTAAACGGTTCTTCCTCTGTGCATCAGGGAGAGCATTGTGTGCAAGCATACAGATGCTGAATTGTTTGTTCTGCTTCACAGTCGTAAAAGGTGGAGGGTTCTTCTAAGTAGTGCCAGTTTGCCCGGTTGTGTTTTGATCTGCCAGTTCCACTTCTGAGTTTATTCAAGGACTTCTAAGTTGCCCATTTTTGGTTTGCCCCTGGAGGAAGACCCTCATGGGGGGTGGGTAGGTGGGATCCAGTTGGAATTGCCTAATTTTGCTGCCCACAGGGATATTCTTGCTGTTGCTGGAGTAACATCTAGAGGAGTGGTGGTTCTCATGAATGTTTTCCTTGATTGAGTTTACTGGGAGGAGGCTGATAGCCATTTAGTGGATGGCTTTCACAATGTTCAACCTTCCCGTCGCACGTCGGGGGCGTGTGTGTGTGTGTGTGTGCAATGCCAGCTACCTTATAGAGTATATCAACAGGTGTAGGTTTAAGACATCCAGTGGTTATTCTACATTCTCATTCAGTGCTGTATTTACGTGAACAGATTTATGCCAGATGTGGCAGGCATACTCAGTAGTTAAGTAATGTAGCTCTTTTGCCATTATGTGGACAGACTCCTCTACTAAATAGGTCTTTGGTGTGAAACCAGGATGCCCCTCCTTATGTTCTTAACTATTCTCTTTCAGAAAGCAGAAGATGCTGAAATAGCAAGAGAAAATGGAGCTGCATTTGTAGGAGGGGCTGAATTAATCAAGCCGGTAATTAACACATTTACAAATTAAGCACTGTAATAAGACTTTTTAAGGGGAGGGAGGGATCTGTCTTATCTGACATCAGTTCTTCTGATAAGGCCTCTTTGCACTATATATAACTGCTTCTGCTACAATCAGTTGATTTCTAAGCACAGTCCAAAGTGCTGGTCATGACCTGTAAAGCCTAGATCGCTTTGTCCTAGGCATACAAAAGTGTACTATATCATCATATGCAAGCTGGTTATAATGTTGAGAACTTTTGGGAAGGCTTTTTCTTATTCTCACCACTTTCACAGTCTTCCTCATTATTAAATAAGTAGAAACTGGGATTTTGTTCAACAAGAATTACTTTATAGTTTGAACTATTGAAATGGGGCCACGTTTATTCCAGTGGATTAATCTGAGACAAACCTTCCTGTCTTTTAGGGTTTTTTTTCTTCAGATTTGTCTTCTAGAATGAATGTGATCTCATTTTAATAGTTGTCTGTATTGGCTTCAGGTTCTGTAGTTGCCTAATGTTTCAATCTGTTGGTGTCTTTAGTTCTTAGCAAACCGTTTTTCTGGAGGGAGGATGACTGCTGGTAAACTGGAACTGAAAAATAGGAGGGTGTTTCTTTAGAATGACTTTGTCCTTARGGTTTGTGCTCTTGAGAAGTCTGACTTGGCCACGGTAGTCCACGCTCTAGTTACATCCCGTATAGACTACTGCAACGCTCTCTACYTGGGGTTGCCTTTGAAGATGGTCCGGAAGCTTCAACTAGTCCAACGAACGGCAGCCAGGTTGTTAACAGGAGCAGCGCTCAGGGAGCATACAACCCCCTTGRTGRGCCAYCTCCACTGGCTGCCAGTTTGCTACCGGGCCCAATTCAAAGTGCTGGCTTTGGCCTATAAAGCCCTAAACGGTTCTGGCCCAACTTACCTGTCCGAACGTATCTCCCCGTACGAACCARTGAGGACTTTAAGATCTTCTGGAGAGGCCCTGCTTTTGGTCCCGCCTTTGTCACAAGCACGTTTGGTGGGGACGAAAGACAGGGCCTCAGTGGTGGCCCCTCGGCTATGAAATGCCCTCCCTAGGGAAATCAGATCTGCTCCCTCCCTCTTGACGTTTCGGAGGCAAGTTAAAACGTGGCTATTCGAGCAAGCGTTTACAAATACAGAGTAGCTAATATAGGAAATCAGATGACCTGACAATGGAATTGGACAATACTTGAGAATAATGAGACGCTGATGATGTCGCTTTTATTGCTTTTATGATGTTTTATACTGTTTAATGTTTTTTATCTATTACGTTTTATGTATACTGATTTGTTGGAAACCGCCTTGAATCGCCAATTGGCTGAGAAAGGTGGTATACAAATACAGTAAATAAATAAATAAATAAATAAATAAATTAACACCTTAGCTGAAAGGCTGGTTAAATAATTTCCAAAAACATACCAATGTGTGGAAGTTTTCATTTGGGAAAACTGGCTGTCCTTGGACTTTAGCAGATGTTTCCTGTGGTTGTAGAGCAGAGATATTGTAATGCTCTGTACAGCCTGCCATGGTATCTGTTGGGGAGACAGAATAAGAGGACATTCCACTCCCAACTTTTGGAACTGAGAGTGATCAAAGTAAATATTTGCCTTCACTAGCAACAGGTCATGAATGCCATGGCCAGTTCTGCAAAAGAAATAACAACCAAAACAACAAGCAAGACTTTCTACTTTGAAGCACAAATAAATTTGCCTTGTATTATTATTTGAGGTATATATTTATTACAAAATATTTATCCATGCACTACCAAATGCATGAAAAATAAAACCCATTCAAAATATAAAAATTACAAGTCAGAGAGAATAATACAGTTTTAACTGTCTGTTAGAAGGTCAACAAGGATGAAAGCAGCCACACTTCCCTTGGAGAAAGGTTCAGATGTCAAGATTCTCCTACAAAGAAAGTCCAGCATTGTGTAACCTGTTTGGGCAGAAGGATTGCACTAGTGTCTTTACTGAAGAGCTTAAATTCTGAACAGATTCATATGGGAATAGGTGGCTTCTTAAATTTATTTATTTATTTATTTACTTCATTTATATACCGCTTTTCTCAGCCCTCGGGCGACTCAAAGCGGTTAACAACAGCAAAATTCAATGCAAAAACATCACAAAACGAATACGGGACAGTTAAAAACAGTAGCATCATCAGTGATTAAACATCAATATAACAATCATTAGCGTCTCATCAGTAAAATCAGAATCCAATCTCATCATCCATTATTCCGTATTCCTATATTCAATTACACTGCTTAATCGAATGCTTGTTCGAACAGCCAGGTCTTCACTTTCCTCCGAAATGCCAACAGGGAAGGGGCCGATCTGATATCTGTAGGAAGGGTGTTCCACAGCCGAGGGGCCACCACTGAGAAGGCCCTGTCTCTCGTCCCTGCCAGGCGCGCCTGTGATGCAGGTGGGACCGAGAGCAGGGCCTCCCCAGATGATCTTAATGTCCTAGTTGGTTCAATGTCCTAGTTGGTTAAACGTTCTGGTCCCAAGCCATTTTCCATTGTGATAATTTTCCAGATGTTCTTGTGTTGCCATTTTAAGAACTATTTCAACAGGATCATATAAATTATAATAAATAAACTTTATTTATATACCATGCTATCTTCACGAAATGACTCAGGGTGGTGAACAACAAAGTTAGCAAACATTCAATGCCGTACAAAAGAAAAACACATAAGCAAATAACCATCCCACCCAAACCCTCAGAGATCCATATTTAAACCAAAAATAATCCTCATTATAACATGTAACATTTACAATTCCATAGTAATCCATAAAAAAGGAGTCAGACCAGCAAATATGTTTTAAATTATAAATTATAAAATTAACACTGTCCGGAGCCAGGGTGAGTAGTCCATATAACGTAGTAATGAGTTACTTATGTTATACCTGTGTAACTGAACATCTGAGAGTACTTTTGGATTGCTTGGATACTAATAAATATCAAATTTCAGAGTCCATGTTGCTAAAATACTTTCATTAGTCCAGTGTCAAAAAAAGAAGAGGATTAGTATAGAAGCTTTCACAATAAAAAGTAAAGGCAATATATACTGAGGCATTACTTCCTCCAATAGATACAGCCCCCCCCAAATTGGCTTCTGTCAATCTGCATTCCCTGATCTAGCAATGAAATTAATCTTAAGGTCTACCTGATGGATAAGCTGTTATTGTCCAACAGAAATTTCTATAGGTTGCTTCCAAGTGGAAAGCTACCAGGGTTAAGGATCAAAATGCTCTTTAATATTTCCATCTGCTAAGAAAAATGATGGAATACGTGATCAGAAAAAATAGGCGTACATGTGGTAAATCTATATAAATAAAACTTAATGTTCGTTTGTGGGATTAACAGAACTCAAAAACCACTGAACGAATTGACACCAAATTTGGACACAAGACACCTAACAACCCAATATATGTCCTTCACTCAAAAAATTGATTTTGTCATTCGGGAGTTGTAGTTGCTGGGATCACCTACAATCAAAGAGCATTCTGAACCCCACCAACGATGGAATTGAACCAAACTTGGCACACAGTTCTCCCATGACCAACAGAAAATACTGGAAGGGTTTGGTAGGCAGTGTCCTTTGGTTCTGGAGTTGTAGTTCACCTACATCCAGAGAGCACAGCATGATGGATCTGGACCAAACTTGGCACAAATACTCAATACGCCGAAATGTGAACACTGGTGGAGTTTGGGGAAAATAGAATCTTGACATTTGAGAGTTGTAGTTGCTGAGATTTGTAGTTCACCTACAGTCAAAGAGCATTCTGAACCCGCCACGAGTCGCCTCAGGGCTGAGAGTGGCGGTCTATAAGTGCAAGAAATAAATAAATAAATAAATAAACCCCACCAATGATAGAATTGGGCCAAACATCCCACTCAGAACCCCCATGACCACGAAAGTGGGCCACAGCAATGAGTGGCAGGGGACAGCTAGTTATATATAAATTTCATGAATTAGACATGTGATGGGTCAAAGTTGGAAGCATTCTTAATATTCTGATGATCTAGACTTCATTTTTTTGTCAAGTTGCCATTACTAAATGACATTGCAAATGATTCCTAGCTGCTCAAAGCCTTATATTGACACGGTTTTGACAATAAATGTTAATATTTAAACACTGTATTTACATTCTGGATATTACACTTCTCTGGAAAGAATCCACTATTCTATAAAAGACAATTATTCAGGGAAAGTAAGATGAAAGTCCAGCTGCGACATAACTGACAAGAGTCTGCACTGGAGAGAGAGCTGGTATTTGTGGCTTCAGATTTTGCTCAGCCAGTTTTAAAGAATTTTGCTTTTGCATTAAGGATGGTGCTTTTAAGCATGTTTCCTCACTGTTCTTGTACTGATAGTGAAGGGGGGTATGAGGAGGAAATACTGTTCAACTTTCATAAGTGTGGAATCTGTACCTGCAATTTCAAATATCCACCAAAATATGGAATCTCTAAGCATTTTCTAAGCCTCTTCAACCTACAGCCCTCTGGGTGTTTTGGACTTCAGTTTCCAGAATTCCTGACCATTGAACAAGCTGGCTAGGGCTTCTGCGGGTTGGAGGCCAAAATGCCTAGAGGCACCCTGGTTGAAGAGGCCTACTCTATGGTATTCTCAAGCTGGAAGTACTTCATTACAAAAGGTTTGCTGTTATCTGCACTTCTACATATTTGTGCAAAATTCAGGAATATATATCTTGTGGATGTGGGGTGCTATGTATTTATTCTATGTTTAATTTGTTGGCAATAGTGTCTGTATGTACCCCTAAAACAGTGGTCCTCAACCTGTGGGTGAGTCCCCAGAGGTTTTGACCTTCAACTCCCAGAAATCCTAACAGTTGGTAAACTGGCTGGTATTTCTGAGAACTATAGGCCAAAACACCTGGGGACCTACAGATTTGAGAACTACCGCCCTAAAATAATGATAATTTGTTTCAGATTTTTGATGGTGAAATCCAGGCGGATTATTATGTTGCTGTGCCTACAATGGCATCTAAGATCTTGCCTCTGAGAAGCACCCTGAAGAAAAAATTCCCAAAGATTAAAAATGGTAAGAACCAAGTTTTGTCTGAAGCATTTAAATCTGAAGTCCTACATACTCTTATTTGATTGTATTGCTTCTTAAACATGTTTTCTCACAAGCATGCAGAAGGCTGGATTATGAGAGGCATTTTCCACCTTGGATCTACATTATGTTAGGCCTTTATTTGAGGGATGACTGTGGGCCCTTCCAGACAGGCCACCGGGTTTTCTGCTTTAAACCGGATTATATGAGTCCACACTGTCAGATAATCTGTGATAAACAGAAAAACCTGGAATCATATCCTGGGATATAGGGCCTGTCTGGAAGGGCCCTATGTTGCCTGAAAGATGGCTCAATGGTTTGTTGCATTTTCCAGAATTAACAGGAGAATGCCATTAAGATTATGTGAAGGCTTACAGAACTACATTGATTATTTTCTTTTATTTGTTTGTTTATATAAAATAGTTATATATTGCTATACGTTTTCTTTAAACTGACTTTCAAAATCAGTCCTCAGATATAACTTTAAAATAAACAATCCAGAATCATTTCAAGCATCAAAAGCATTGGAAAACAGCACTAACTTGTATTGCATATTTATTTAACGCAAGTAGGAGCTGAGAGTCTGGAAGAATCATTTGGATTTGGCCACAGTTTCTATAGCTCTCTATCAGTGTGGCTGCTGGTCTTGGGTTTGGAGTTTTGGGAAATTCCAGTCCAAAAAAAGGAATGCTTCCAAGCTGTGTTACATCCACCAAGAGCTGGATAAAACTATTTTAAGGGCCAAATGTGATCCAAAGGACAGCAGTTCTTTGGTCATTCTACTAAGATCAAACTGACCAGATCATACTGGTGCAGTGAGTCATGGACAGATACTAAACTTAAAATGTATGCTTTCTAGATCTTTGATATAGATTAGTAACCTGCCATATAAAAGGCATAATACATCAGATGTGCCACGGGAGGCATGTGTTTATAGTAAAGGCTTTTGTCCCCTTTTAAAAACAAAACTACTGACTGCATAAGGAAGCTGATGAAAAAACACGACCTACAAACTATCCACAGACCCACTAAGAAAATCCAACAAATGCTACATTCAGCAAAGGACGAGAGGGATTCTCTTACCTCTTCAGGAGTCTACCATGCAGTTGTGGACAAGTCTACATAGGGACCACCAAACGCAGCAGCATTGCCCAAACACAAATCAAGGAACATGAAAGGCACTGCAGACTACTCCAACCAGAGAAGTCAGCCATAGCAGAGCACCTGATGAACCAACCTGGACACAGCATATTATTTGAGAACACAGGAATGCTGGACCACTCTAACAACCACCATGTCAGACTGCACACAGAAGCCATTGAAATCCACAAGCACGTGGACAATTTCAACAGAATGGAAGAAACCATGAAGATGAACAAAATCTGGCTGCCTGAAATAAAAAAATCTCTAAAATCAGGACAGTAAATAAAGAAGAACACTAAAAACAACAACAACAACAATAAACAGAGGAATTCCAGACGAGAAACAATCAGGGCTAGCTAATCACCTCCCAACAAAGGATTCCCCCAGGAAGGAAACAACCAAGCTTTGAAGCTGCAAGGCTGTTCAGTGCTAATCAAGGTGATCAGTTTCAGCATTCAAGCTTGCCTCCAACAGACAAAGAGTTCTTTCTCCCCTCCTAGACATTCCACAGATATGTAAGCCCCACTTGCCTTGTTTTCAACATATCTCACAACCTCTGAGGATTCCTGCCATTGATGCAGGCGAAATGTCAGGAGAGAATGCTTCTGGAACATGGCCATATAGCCCGAAAAACTGATAGCAACCCAGTGATCCCGCCATGAAAGTCATTGACAAACTGGTGTCAGATTGTACGAGTATTTCATCTTTATTTATTGCTTGTGCTAGAAGTGTAGTGGAAAACCATCGTTACTTTAAGTATCTGTTTTGTTGGCAGAGACCACTAAGACTTTCGAAGTCAAAAGATTTTTCTGTCAGGGTTGTATACTCTCACCCAACCTATTCATCTTGTATGCAGAACACATGATGCGATGTGTGGGGAAGATTCTGCCACTTGAGGTTGCAAGCCAAGCATGCCACCATGGCATGAAAAATGTTGAAGGTGCTCTGTGTCCTGCACTATCAAATATTCACCCAAGATTTAATTCTTTATGAAAAAACATACAAGCACACCCATTAACATGCAAATTTGCTGTAATCTTTAATTAATAGTAAACTTATTTGTATACCAAATAATTGTTTTAAAATATAATTCTATAGGATTCATTATTAGTAAATGTTTGATTTGCATTCCTGTTTTACATACCTATACATCTGGAGTCGCATAAAAAATTTTCACGCAGAAAAAGGTTGTGAGTGAAAATAAATAAAGAAGTTTTCTCCGAGAGTGTCCATTTTAACACTGCCTTCTGTTTTCTTTGAGCCAGGGTCTGTTAGTTATGACGTTGCTGAGATGGTTCGCTTCTTCAAACTGTGCCATGAATATGAACTACTAGAAAACGATAACTTTATCCATGCTACAATTGCAACGGTAAGCCTCAAATAGATTTTGGCAACGAATCCATTTGAAATATTTGTTTTGAGTAGATGTTAACAATTAACTGAAAATACATACACACACCAGCTTCTAAATCTTCATTCACATTGTAGATTTTCAGAAGCATTAAGAAATGGGTCATTCAGTGGGACAGAATAAAGGCGAGCCAGGAAATCATTACCTTTTGCTAATGCAAGAGATTTCTTTTCCAAATGCACCAGAAAGCAAGGTGTATATTGTGCCTGGAAGTCGAGCCACATTAATAATTCACATTGTTTTAATATTTGACGGTTATTACATGTATTTACCTTTGGTTTAATAATTAAATTCAGTTCCTGTTGTTTAATTGATTCATGTCATTTAAGGCAATATGATAAGATCACATAAAAACATGTTTCGTCAATATGTAAGTCATTTTAGAGCAATGGTTATCAATATGTGAGTCCCGGGTGTCTTGGCCTACAACTCCCAGAAATCCTAGCCAGTTTACCAGCTGTTGGGTTTCTGGGAGTTGAATGCCAGAACATCTGGAGACCCACACATTGAGAACTATCCTTAGAGGCTATAAAGAACCGAGTAAAGATTTTAATTATTTTATAGACGGGGAAATATATAAAATAATCCCAATGCTGCTCAGCCAAAATTATGACACTCACACCATCAACACAACACATACAGGCACCTCCTTAAAAATATATTAACGAACATGCTGTTCACTCAAAACTATAAGAAGCTGTCAAAAGGAAGAGAGAGTATGGTTGCTGAACCAACTGTATATTTAAAAGTTAGGAACTGGGAACCACTGGAACTGAGAGACTTAAAATGATTCTTCAAATGAATTCCGCTGCCACCATTTCAATAATAATCAGGCTGAGGTAATATTGAGAGTTTGTTCTGTAACACACACTGTGCCACTATAGTTTCTTAGTTGCTGCGAAGCTGACTTTAGTAATACTCTGACCACAAAGGTATTCACACTGATGCTGGTATAAGTTAATAAATTAACAAGAATGTTTATTGAACAGGCTTGAAATATTCAGGTACAAATGCTTAATGGTTTCAGTAAAAAAAAAACTGGCATAAAAAGCTTGTGGTTGTGTTAGAGTCAAACTCTTAAAACTTCTGGGTTACAAGTCTTCAAAGTTCCACCAACGAAAATTACTTCAGGAAATGAATCTCTGAAAGTAACTCCCAAAACTTCCTCTCAGGAATCTAGCCAAAAATACCCTGAACTAGACTTCCTTAGGAATTGAACAGACCACTAACGGGGTACTGCTCCACAAAAGTATTCTAGCTATTTACTCAATAGCTACTCTGAATACTTCACAAAATTCTGACCCAATCTTCTTCTCTAAACACAAACTTGCTCTCACTATCACCAACCCTTCTTCTCTCTCTAACAGCCAAACACCAACTGACTAACGAGGACTTCAAGCCTCAGTTTAAAAGACACTTTTTCCCTCTATACCACTTAGGCTCCGCCCCCATATTTCTAGCCAATCCTAGCCTTCCTTTTTTCCCTCTAAGATTTGAACGCGCCCCCTCAAGGCAAACCTAACTAAAATGACTTCTACCTGTCTCCCCTTTCTAAAATGGATGCCGGGGCTTCGCCAGGCCCATTCCCTTAGGCTTCAGCCAGCCTGCTAAGGCAAGGGATTCATGACAGAGGATATTCTTAGAGACCAGTTTAAAAATTCTGAAAATTTATGCATATAAAGCCCCTTTCTAATCTAATGACCCAAGGTAACAATGGGATGCTGTGAATTTCCTGGGCTGTATGGCCATGTTCTCTCCTGACGTTTTGCCCACATCTGTGGCAGGTATCCTCATAGGTTTAGGGATCTGTTAGAAACTAGGCAAGTGAGGTTTATATATCTGTGGAATGTCCAGGGTGGAAGAAAGAACTCTTGTCTGCTTGAGGCGAGTGTGAATGTTGCAGTTGGCTACCTTGATTAGCATTTAATGGCTTTGCAGCTCCAAAGCCTGGCTGTTGCTGCCTGGGGGAATCCTTTGTTGGTAGGTGTTAGTTAGCCCTGATTGATTCTTGTCTGGAATTCCCCTGCTTTTTGAGCATTGTTCTTTAATTACTGCCCTGATTTTAGAGGGTTTTTTAAAATACTGGTAGCCAGATTTTGTTCATCTTCATAGTTTCCTCCTTTCTGTTGAAATTGTCCACATGCTTGTGGGTTTCAATGGCTTCTCTGTATAGTCTGATATGGTCGTTCTAGTAACTTTTTCTCCTGCAGATGAAATGCCAGGAGAAAATGCTGCTTGAACATGATCATACAGCCTGGAAACCACACAAAATATATGTTCGACAATATATATCAGTCTTTCTCAATACATTTCTTGTAGGAACTCCTGAAATAAACATCCAGTTCTTGGGGAATCTATATAAATAAAAAATGTAATGTTTATTTGTGAGATTAACAGAACTCAAAAACCACTGGACGAATTGACGGCAAATTTGGACACAAGACACCTAACAACCCAATGTATGTCCTTCACTCCAAAAAAATTGATTTTGTCATTTGGGAGTTGTAGTTGCTGGGATTTATAGTTCACCTACAATCAAAGAGCATTCTGAACCCCACCAATGATGGAATTGAACCAAACTTGGCATACAGTTCTCCCATGACCAACAAAAAATACTGGAAGGGTTTGGTGGGAAATGTCCTTTAGTTTTGGAGTTGTATTTCACCTACATCCAGAGATCACTGTGGACTCAAACAATGATGGATCTGGACCAAACTCTACACAAATACTCAATATGCCCAAATGTGAACATTGGTGGAGTTTGGGGAAAATAGACCTTGACATTTGGGAGTTGTAGTTGCTGGGATTTATAGTTCACCTACAATCACAGAGTATTCTGAACCCCACCAACAATAGAATTGGGCCAAACCTCCCACACAGAACAGCCATGTGGGCCACAGCAACGCATGGCAGGGGACGGCTAGTCTATATAAATCATAGAATCAAAGAGTTGGAAGAGACCTTATGGGCCATCCAGTCCAACCCCCTGCCAAGAAGCAGGAATATTGCATTCAAATCACCCCTGACAGATGGCCATCCAGCCTCTGTTTAAAAACCTCCAAAGAAGGAGCCTCCACCACACTCCAGGGCAGAGAGTTCCACTGCTGAATGGCTCTCACAGTCAGGAAGTTCTTCCTCATGTTCAGATGGAATCTCATCTCTTGTAGTTTCAAGCTATTGTTCCGCGTCCTAGTCTCCAGGGAAGCAGAGAACAAGCTTGCTCCCTCCTCCCTGTGGCTTCCTCTCACATATTTATACATGGCTATCATATCTCCTCTCAGCCTTCTCTTCTTCAGGCTAAACATGCCTGGCTCCTTAAGCTGCTCCTCATAGGGCTTGTTCTCCAGACCCTTGATGTAAAAATGTAATGTTCTTCTTTGGGATTAACATAACTCAAAAACCACTGGATGGATTGACATGAAATTTGGACACTACATCCTTAATAGGCTGACGAGTGACCACCACTCATAAACCCCACCCCCCAAAAAGGGGAAAGGACTTAAAAACCCAAAAAGGCTAAATGACAATACAGCGCATGCGCTAAAACAACAGCTCCCAGCATCCCCTAGACGAGGCCCTTTAGGGGAGGAGGGTGCTCCAAATGCAATGCTTCCAAGCTGCAAACTTGCTTCTTGGAATTCTTTGAGAGCATCCCAATTTGTACATATTTCCTATTCCTGGACTGCAACTCCCAGCAATCCTCCAMATAGATAAGATATATAGATTAGATAGAGATAGACAGATATATCAGGAGGACTGCTGGGAGTTACAGTCCAAGAATAGGTGGAGAAGGGAGAAAGGAGAGAAAGAAAAACGGGGGGGGGGGAGGAAGGAAAGAGGTAGAGAAGGAAGGAAGAAAGGAAGGAAAGAAAAAAGAGAAGGAAGGAAAGAGGGAGGGAGGGAGGGAGGGAGGGAAGGAGAGAAAGAAAGAAGGAGAGAAAGAGGGAGGGAAGATTGGCCACAGCAACACGTGGTGGGCACAGCTAGTGCATGCATAAAAATATGTCAACAAGTCAAAAATGTGTGTGTGTGTGTGTGTGTGTGTGTATGTATATGTGTGTGTATATATATATTCAATCATGATCTCTTATGGAATTTTAGCGTTCTAGGGTAACCCCAGTTGTAAAACCATGGTCTGTATATATTTACAGTGGTTAGCTTTGCATACAAAAGTGCTTTCTGCTTCTTTCGCAGCAGGATATCTGAGCTAATGAGGCTAATGGCATTTTTAGTGCTTTGCATCTTAAGAGGGAAATGCTTTTTTCCTCCTTTTATTAACCCAAAAAAAGAGGGAGCCCTGAACGCTGATTAAATATTTACTTCAGCCACTGCCATTTTTATTAATCTGGTGGCATTTAATGTCTTCTGCTTCATTAATTTTGCATTAAATTTATTTCAGCTGGATATGCCTAATGAACAGATAGTTGCCAATCTGGATGCCATTATTAAGGACGTTTGTAAATCCAAACCTTTGAGCTATGGTAAGCAGCTTTCTCTCTTGTCTTTGGTCTCTTAATTGACACTAAGAGCTAATTACATTACTCGGATGAGTCAAGGGGAGCACCTCTCCAGCATCAAGGAGCACAAAATTGCTTGATTAAAAACCAAACGAATTTCTTATGGCAAGCAATAAAAAATTCTTACAGGCCGCAAGCAGTAATATGTCAAACAGGATGTACTAATAGGTACTAATATTTTTAATTCCCTCCTATAAAAGGTAGCTTTTGAACACAAGGCCCATAGAAAGCTTTCTTATATTGACTCAGCCCATTGGTCCATCTTGCTTAGTACTATCAGCTCTGCAAGATTTCTAGCAATAATATTTCTTAGCTCTATCTAGAGGTGCTTGGGATAGAATATGGGATATTTCAAACCCAGAGCACAGGGAGCAAAATAACTCTTGCTGTATAGAGACTGGATCACAGCTATTTCCCCTTAACTTATAACAGTAGGTTATTTAATTGTAAACATTAGATCACAAGGGTTGCTGTGAGTTTTTGTGGCTGTATGGCCATGTTCCAGAAGCATTCTCTCCTGATGTTTTGTCCACATCTATGGCAGGCATCCTCAGAGATTGTGAGGTCTGTTGGAAACTAGGCAAGTGTGGTGTATATATCTGTGGAATGTCCTGGGTGGGAGAAAGAACTCTTGTCTGCCTGAGGCAAGTGTGAATGTTGCAAATGGACACCTTGATTTGCGTTTAACGACCTTGCAGAAAATCCAACAAATGCTACGTTCAGCAAAGGATAAGAGGGATCCTCTCACCTCTGCAGGAGTCTGCTGTTTTCCATGCAGCTGTGGGCAAGTCTACATAGGGACCACCAAACAGCATTGCCCGAGCACGAATCAAGGAACATGAAAGGCACTACAGATTAATTCAACCAGAGAAGTCAGCCATAGCAATAGTATTTGAGAACACAGAAATGCTGGACCATTCTAACAACGAACAGACTACACAGAGAAGCCACTAAAATCCACAAGCATGTGGACAATTTCAACAGAAAGGAGGAAACCATGAAATGAACAAAATCTGGCTACCAGTATTGAAAAGCTCTAAAATCAGGACAATAAAGGAAAAGCAACACTCAAAAAGCAGACAAAAAACAATCAGAGCTAGCTAACACCTCCCAACAAAGGATTCCCCCAGGCAGCAGGCAGCCAGGCTTTGAAGCTACAATGCCATTAAATGCTAAGCAAGGTGGCCATTTGCAACATTCACACTTGCCTCAAGCAGTTGTTCATTCGTTCAGTCGCTTCCAATTCTTCGTGACCTTATGAAGCAGCCCATGCCAGAGCTCCCTGTCGGCCCTCACCACCCCCAGCTCCTTCAAGGTCAAGCCAGTCACTTCAAGGATGCCATCCATCCATCTTGCCCTTGGTCAGCTCCTCTTCCTTTTTCCTTCCATTTTCCCCAGCATCATTGTCTTCTCTAAGCCTCAAGCAGACAAGGGTTCTTTCTTCCACTCTGGACATTTCTCAGATATATAAATCTCACTTGCCTAGTTTCCAACAGACCTCACAATCTGAGGTTGCCTGCCATAGATGTGGGTGAAATGTCAAGAGAGAATGCTCTAGGAACATGGCCATGCAGCCCAGAAAACTCACAGCAACCCAGTGACTCCGACCATGAAAGTCTTCGACAACATATTAGATCACAACTCAACCAGATTTATGAACTTCTAAATCACATTGATTTTCTATGGAAGAGTGGAAGCACATGCTTAAATCTCCTCCACTGAAATACGAGGCTTAAAACAGCTTACAAATGGCTGGGCCAAGCCCTTAATGTTTTCTATGCCTCTTTCAATATTTTCAGTACAATACTTCAGGTGCATTTCGTTTTCTGTACAGATCTCATTCAGTAACCCCTAGAAACACCAAAACAATAACTTAGATTTCTTCCTCTTCTTCTTTTTGTTTATTTAAAGGTCCATTTGTGACACGGTTAATCATTCGAAGCTCAAGCAGTGAAGGCTTAGATTTAAAGTTGGAGCGCTTCCTCCCCAAAGGAGCTGTGAAAGCAAAGGTGAAAGAGGTGGAAAAAGAAGAGGAAAAAGGAAAGGAAAAAGAAGAAGAAGACAGTGATGATGAAGGAGAAATGCAAAAGTCTAGATAACAATCTAAACAATAGACTTCTTACCTGAATTACGTTATTGGACTTGGAATCATGCAAGAATTTACATTTGTCTTTCTTTCAGGCCAAGCAATATACAAAAGCATACAAAACATTTGAGTTTAATACCTAGTCTTGAAAAACAACCCATTCCATTGTTTGAGATAATAACGAGTTAGGAAAATGATCAGCACAGAAACACCTTGTCCCGTTCACTAGAAAGTGCTGCACTGCCTTCAAATACTTGAACGCTGTTGTCATGAATTAAAAATATTACATTTCAGTTGATACCTGTGTATCTTGGGAAAACTCCAAATTCCCTTGGCAACAGGCTCTTGTCTCCACTTTTTATTGTTGCTTTAATATCTCCATTTGTTTATTGAATTGGTTCGAATCATTGCAGAATCCTGGTTTTTAAAGTGTAATATTGCGTGAAACAAGATCAGCTGACTCTACAGTGATTTGTTTGTTTTTTGCTTTTTTAATTAAGCACATCTTAATTAGATTACTTGCCAGATCATTACTATGAGTTTTCCTCAGCTTCTGGTGTAGTCTTAATGTCTCAGCAATCCCATACAGCAGCAGTCTACAGCAGTGCCTCTCACGATATCTCTTGTGGTAATTCATTTTCTTTTCCCCCCCAAATAGGGGCCACATTTGTGTCATCTACACTGGCTATTTAATGTAATTTCAAACCAGTTTTGCTATGAAGATGATTACATAGGAAATCATCCCAGATGCTGATTACACAAACCACAGAGCACTGGTGCATATGAAGGGCTTTCATTTATGTGCTTTTGTAAAAGTTGTCTAGCCACCATAGTTCAAAGTGTAGATAGAGCCTCAGTCTTGATTTGCCCATGGTCCAATAAGGGTAAATTACATGGGTGTTTACAATATAAGGCAGTGCTAACAATGGGTTCGCCAACTCCAGTCCCTTGCAAGGACTGTGTTGCGCTCCAAGGCTGGGATTTATCTCTGTACTCGACGCACAAATCAATCCCTGAATATCAAGCAAAAGGTGGGTGCTAGAAACAATATCATACGAAAGCTGACTGGCACAACCTGGGGATCACAACCAGACACAATGAAGACATCTGCCCTTGCGCTATGCTACTCTGCTGCTGAGTATGCATGCCCAGTGTGGAACACATCTCACCACGCTAAAACAGTGGATGTGGCTCTTAATGAGACATGCCGCATTACCATAGGATGTCTATGCCTTACGCCGCTGGATAAATTATACTGGTTAGTTGTCATTGCACCCCCTGATACTCATTGGGAAGTAGCAGCCAGCAATGAAAGGACCAAGGCATTGACATCTCCGGCCCATTCTTTGTTTGGATATCAGTCAGCATGTCAATGACTTAAATTAAAAAAAACAACAACTTCCTAAGATCTACAGAGATACTCGCAGGAACACCTCAGCAAACGAGAGTCCAAAAGTGGCAGGTAAGAACCTAAACCTCAATCAGTGGCTGTGACCTTATGAGAAACTCCCTCTTAGACACACAGAAGACTAGGTAACTTGGAAGGCACCACAAGGTGCAGAGCCAATCTTAAGAAATGGGGCTACAAAATGGAGTCCATGACATGCGAGTGTGGAGAAGAGCAAACCACTGACCACTTACCATAATGCGGTCTGAGCTCTGCCACATGCACAACGGAGGACCTTACAGTGACACCAGAGGCACTTCAAGTGGTCAGCTTCGGGTCAAAGGAAATTTAGCATAATGCCATGTGTTTAACTTTGTGGTTTTTTATACATTATAAATATATTCTCAATTATCTTCTGACATGATAAATAAATAAATCTCAATCACATTTGTATTCTTTCTGAATTCCCATTTTATCCTGATAGCAACTCTGTGATGGTGACATGGTGAGCTAAATAGTGGAACGGCTGTTCCTGTGTATGCAGCCAATGTTTTTTGTTTGTTTTTACACCACTCTCTCATGGAAATGTGCCCCAAGAAGCTTATCATATGACAAACAAGCAATAAATACAGCAACTTCAAATATTAGTTTCCACACATTCACTGTAAACAAGAAAAGCACCATACATTGTACATATACTTTGAACAGTCACACTCTCTCAACCTCAGAGGAAGGGCTAGGCAACCCCCTTCTGAATCATTCTTGTCATATGAATCTCATCATTCATTAGCTTTAGGGTTGCAATACTGAAAAAAACTTGAAGGCACACAACAAACAAGTGTAAGTAAATACTGTGCCAGCAGATGGTGCCCATTCCCTGCATAGCACAGCTTCTCTTGTCATTGGTATTAAATCCCATTGAATTCACTGGTGTGGAAGGTCCAACTCAGCCATGCGATTAGATATTGCTCTGTCCAAGAAGTGGCTGGGAGAAACGTAGTTAGAATGTGTGTATTTAGAATGTGTGTAACATTCTTAAAGCTATGCATGTTTAGTATAAAGTAGTTCACAATTGACTTGTGACTGCAGCATTCAGCATCTATGAGTGCTTCAGTTCTAAATGTTAAAGATTTTCGCCCTTAGGGCTTACTACTGAGTCCTCAAAGCCTATTGATGACAAACCAGAATCCTTATGTTTATATAAGAATAGGCTGCAAGGGCAAAAGGACCATTGATTTTTTTTCCCCACCACCAGTACAGGACAACCAATGTTTAGATAGACCGAGTGCAGTACACATTGAGTACTCTTTGTCGGGGATTCCAAACTAATTCAAAATCCTAAATTGTCTACTTGGGCAACAAAGATGGTGATGGGTTAGTGTGCGTTTTCTGGTCTGTATGGCCATGTTCCAGAAGATAGTGATGTTTTTACCTTCTGATGGTTCAGTGTACAAAAACTTTGTTGAATGCATAAAATTATTAAGAATAATATATATTAATTTACCTTCAGATTATATGTATAAAGTGTATATAAAACATAAATAAATTTTGTATGAAGACATGAGTCCCATCAACAAGATGTCTCATTATGTTCCTGGATGCAGATACAGGTACAGTAGAGTCTCGCTTTATTTATATTTATCGTGTCAGTATCAACCAGACAATTGTATTACATTTTTTAACAAATTTTTAACAGACAGACAAAACAGAGTTTGCAAGCTTGGTAGTTGGTAGAGTCTCGCTGGTGCGACATAAATGGGCCGGCAGAACGTCGGATAAATGGAAATGTCAGATAATATGTAGCCTTCTACTGTTACCTGTCTGATGCAGTGCTAGACACCTAGAATACTAACAACAGGGACTCAAAGGATTAAGGCAAAGCTGGAGTGGCCCAGCAGGAAGTGCCTGGATGTGGAAGAGGAGCGTGGAAATCACAAAGGGGAGGTTCTGGTCCTTCCTCTTTTCCCCCTTTCCTCCTCCTCCTGCCTTTTTCACTTATTGGGAATGGAGAGAGAATTGGGGAGCACTTCTTTAATTGAAGAGGAAACACTGGAGGAAAAGGGAGGCATCAAAAAGAGTGTCAGATAAGACGTAATGTCAGATAAGCGAGACTACTGTATCCCAAAATCTGAAATCCCAAACACTTCTATTCCCAAGCATTTTGAATATAGAGCACTCAGCCTGTATGTGCTTTGTTCAGGACCTGGGTGGGTTTGGGACTTCATTCAGCCATGGAGTTAACTGGCTATTGGGCCATTCTCTGTTTATCCTACCTCACAGGTTTGTTGCAATGATAACGTAGTAAAGGAAAAACCTTTTTATTAATTTTAATAGCTCTGAGTTCCTTGAAAGGTACAAAGGAAGGAAGGAAGGAAGGAAGGAAGGAAGGAAGGAAGGAAGGAAGGAAGGAAGGAAGGAAGGAAGGAAGGGCAAAAGGGAGAGAGAAAGGAAGGAATAAATGAAAAGAAAGGACAAGCAGGCAAGTTAAGATAAACATATCAGTAATAAAATAATATGTTTTGTGCTTTTTTTGTTCTCTCAGCCAAAATGTGGTCACATTCTTAGCAGAGCTTTACCCAGTGAAAGAAATTGTAAAGGATTAGTCACATGTGACCATCTTGATAGATTTGTGTTCTGATTAAACTTGATGTGAATGAATAATTTCAAAGCAGGGTGGCCAGGATGACGTTCTTTGTTTTAAATTAAACCCATACATTTCGCAAAAGGCCTTGACAGAGAAGAGATGCTATTCCATGGCTTGTTAATGGACTTTGCAATCTCTCTTCTCATTTATTTTTCATAGATCTCGTTAACGTATTCTGGCACCCTCTCTATTATCTTAAAATTCTGGCCTATACTTGAAAGAAAGGTATGGGGGTGTATGTATGATTGGCTCCATTTTTTTTAAATTATAGAGTTAGGAGAAAACTCGAGAACCATATAGTCTGGTTTCATGCCATTCCAGGAAACTCCTGCTAAAGCATCCTTAGAAAGTATCCATTTATCTTTTGTTTTAAAATTTTGAATGAAGTAGAGTCTGTAGCAGAATGAAAATCATGTTCACATCCTTACCAATCCACATACTGTCTTGCTAGAGAAAAGATATGCCACGCAGATGATAAGTAGAGAATAAGGTGCTTACTCCTTGTTATGCAGAGCAACATATATACAGTCATGTGAACCGTTGCATTGATCACACAATGTCCTTTGAGAGAGATTAAAAATGGCCCTTGGGTGTCCATGTAAAAGATTTCCTTCCAGCAGCTCAGAAGCAGAAAATATACTGACTTGTCTTGGCAAGCTCCTGCACAGAAAACGTAAACATATAACTGTTGCCAAAACTCCCAGGCTCTGCTAGCATCCCAGGCATAGCCCAACCAATCAGCTTTGTGCTTTGCATTTTTCAGTTAACACACTCACCAACTGATTTTTACATGCTCCAACAGAGTTTACCATCTTCTGAGACAGTCCATTCCAGTTGGGGATTTACAAGGTCTGCCAAGAAGTGCTTCTGCGTCACCAAACTACAACTCCCATAATCCCATAGTATTGAGCCAAGGCAGTTGAAGTGGTGTCAAACTGTATTAATTCTACAGGGTAAATGCACATGTGGCCATTGCTGGTGTTCTCCAGAATCAGTTCCTCTTGAGTACCCATTCACAAATCATGTTGATTCTTACTATCTCCAGGGCCTCCTTTGGGTCAGTTATGTTCATTGATGTGTCCTCCTCCTACTTGCAATTTACGCTCTTCCAAACATCTACTGAGTAATGAACTATTTTGGTTTACGTTTTTTTCCCACTTCAAAAGGAAGGAAATTCTTGTAAGCTGCCAGATGTTACATTAGAACTGGCCTTGGGTTGACCCATGGTTCTGAGAACATGGGTTTGTCAAATGTTTAGCAGTCTCTAAATTTATGCCAGCGCAACCTACCCTACGTTTGGGACTTCGGATCTATTAATACTGCTTTTTTAAAAGGCAGAATCGGATTACAGCTGCTAAGGTCAGGCCTCGTCTTTGAAGCAAAAACTGCACACACTTGTTCCAAGCTATCTGTCAAAGAGGAGGGAAAGTTTGTGGAGCCGAAGGGGGAAGGTCTCGTTATTTTTAATGGGGCAAAAGAAATTTATATACATAGATATTATCCTTCTTAGACTTTCCTGCATGATGCTCACTCATGTGGTGTGTGTGTGTGTGTGTGTCAAAGGGACTATCAGAAAACACATATTTATGATGGCCTTAGGAACACACTGCTCTCCGGAGGTAGGTGAACTACATCTCCCCTAAATCACTGTCAATTCCTCCCAAATCCCTTCAGTAATTTCTATTGGGCATGGGAATTCTGTGTGGGAAGTTTGGCCAATTCTATAATTGGTGGGGTTCAAGGGGCTCTTTGTTTGTAGAAGAACTATAAATCCCAGCAACTACAAATCCCAAATCCCAATGTCTATTTTCCCCAAACTCCACTTCACATTTGGGCATATTGAGTATTTGTGCCAAGTTTGGTCCAGAGCTATCATTGTTTGAGTCCACAGTGCTCTCTGGATGTAGGTGAACTACAACTCCAAAATACAAGGTCAATGTCCACCAAACCCTTCCAGTTTTTTCTGTTGGTCATGGGACTTCAGTGTGCCAAGTTTGGTTTCATTCCATTGTTGGTGGCGTTCAGAATTGTAGGTGAACTATACATTCCAGCAACCACAACTCCCAAATCAAAAAATCAACCCCCCCCCCAACCCTATCAGTATTCAAATTTGGGCATATTGGGTATTTGTGCCAAGTTTAGTCCTGCATATCAGATGTTTATATTATGATTCATAACAGAAAATTACAGTTATGAAATAGAAACAAAATAATTTTATGGTTGGGGGTCACCACAACATAAGGAACTGTATTAAGGGGTTGCAGCATTAGGTTGAGAAACACTGCTCTAGCCCTTAAAACAGTAGTTAATATAGATTATTATTATTAGTAGTAGTAGTAGTAGTAGTAGTAGTATTACCCACCTCTTGCTGAACTGTCAATGTAGTGTAGTGGTTTGAGCAAGGTTCTGGATAACAGGATTCAAATCTCTGCTCAGCCATGGAAAACCACTGGTAAAGTCACACTCTCTCAGCCTCAGAGGAAGCCAAAGGCAACCCTCTTCTGAACAAATCTTGCCAAGGAAATCCCATGATAGCTTTGACTTAGGTTTCCCATGAGTGAGAAATGATTTGAAGGCATACAACAACAACAACAACAACAACAAAGCTTCAGACTGTACTTCCATAGCATTTCAACTGAGCAAGTGGCTGGGAGAAATGTAGTTTTGTAACTCAAAGTTGAAAAGGACAACATGTATATTTCATTTATAGTTTCTCATCCCAGATGCCAGCACATAGGGACTATTCTTCAACACACCTGTTGAATGTTTCTTCTTCAGCTTCACATCATTTGTCATCAGAGTA